CGATTCGAAGACAAGACCCTGATCGATTTTTTTTTGAGTTGGTGATTGAATTAAGTAAGTTTAATTCAACTACGCATTTATCATGAATAATATTATTCCAGGAGGGTATTGAGTTAACTTTATTGAAGATGTTACTGAATTTTTGAAGCAGTTAGAGTAACTACTGATGACATGATTGTGTCTGGAAGCGACCTCGTCAAAGAAGGCAGGTTTGAAGATTTTTACCTTGAGAAGCTCTTTTGCAGTTACAAGATAAATTCTCTTAGCAACGGGGAGTTCATAAGAGATGGAACGTAAAATTGATGTTGGTGTTGAGGGGGACAAACCGGTACAACGTCTTAGGATTGAGTGTTGAAAGGTTTGTATTTTTTTTAATGTATACGCAGGAGCGTTACACGATGTAGAGTAGGGATATTCAATTTTGGATCTAACAATAGATTTGTAAACGTTTAATGCTTTCCTAGGTGGGAGTCCGGTGTGAATGTTGGTCAGAAGTTTGATGACATTTGAGCCTGTGTTGCAATTTTCGAGGCTATCCTTGTAATGCTCATGCGTGGTTAAACTTGAGTTGATTATTCTGCCCAAAAATTTAAAAGAGGAAGACGGACTGATTTTTATACCATTGATTGTAATGTAAAAAAATTTTTTGGGACCCTTAGCAAAGCGAACGACTTTTGATTTTTCCGGGTTGAAAGTTAGATTTAAGTCTGCACAAAGTTTGTGAAAAAGATTGGCTTTAGTGTCGAGGTTACGGACTGCTTCCATTAATGATTTTCCAGCAGAGATGATGAGGAAATCGTCAGCATATTGAAATAAATGGGTAGATTTGTCCTGTAATTGATGTAAACCGGCTGTGTATAAATTGAAGAGAACTGGGCTGAGACAGCTACCTTGAGGTAAGCCTCCACAAACTTCGACTGTATGTGAATCTAATACGAGAGTTCTCGAAGAAAGAAAGTTGAGAACCCAATGCCTATTTTGTGTCGGGATTTTAAAATCAGATAGAATTTGGTCCAGTTTCGCCAAGTTTACACAGTCGTAAGCTTTATTAATGTCTAAGCAAAGCATGACTACCTGGTTCCCATTTGCTTTTTCATTTGCAATTGTGAAAAGGACTTCATTAAGGCACATACCGGTGGAGATATTTTTTTGGTAAGCAAGGGACCTTGACGGGAGAAGGTGTGAGTGATTCAGGAATTTTGTTAGTCTTTCTTTAATCATTTGGTTGGTAATTTTTAGAAGAACAGGCAAGAGGGATATGGGTCTGAAGTTGGTGAATATTTCAAGATCTTTTACGGGTTTAGGAATGGGCACTATTTTAATTGTACGCCAAACGGTGGGAAACGAGTTGGTCATCCAGCGCTCATTTATAGCAGATAGCAGGGTTAGAAGGCTTGGCATGGGAAGGACCTTTATCATTTCATATTTGATTCCGTCATGGCCTGCTGCTGTGGACTTCTTTTTCGACTTAAGGACGTGCATGAGTTCATCAAGGGAGAATGGAGAGATGTTTTCCATCCGAGAGGAGGTTTGGAGACCACATGTCGAGGGAACTTGAGCTTTCAGCCATTCAAGGTAGGATTTGTTGTTGAGATCATCCCAAATGGGGTGCTTGTATTTCTTTTTTGTGGTGCGATGACCATTTAAAAATTTCCAGAATGGCTTTGTATTGCTATTTGAGCATAGTTCTTCGATAACGAGGGCTCGATGGCATCTTTTGGCTTTTCTAATCGATTTCTTCCATTCTTTTTGTGATAACTTGAAATCTTCAAAATTAGAAATATTGGGGTATTTGGAAAATTTTTGTTTAGCAGCCTGTAATCTACGGAATTGTGAAGTGAGCAGCTCGTTCCACCAAGGTTTTGGTGAGTAGGAATTCGAGATTTGGATGTCGGATTTGGCGTTAATTATTTCTTGTTGAAATGAGCACTGGATAGATTCGACCTGTGGCTCAAGACATACGTGAATAAGATTATTTAGGAGTTTTTTCCTCGAGATAAAGTCATTTATCTTGTACGAGGTAGTAGAGGTGGCATTAAAGAGAATAGGAAGGTGGTGGCTGTTTCCCAGGAAAATTTCTTTTTTAACCTCCCGTTTGAATGTGAGATGGGTTGCGTTAGTGAAAGTAAGATCCAACACGCTACCACAATTGTTGGTCGTAGAGTGAAAATAGGTTGGTGAATTATCATTCAGACAATAGAAGTTACTAGCTTTAATGATTTCTTGCAAGGCTTTGCCTTTATTGTTTGACACGGAGTCACCAAAGCAAGGGTGTCTTGCATTGAAATCTCCTGCAATTATGACATTGTGGAAACTATTGAGCATATCACAGAGACGATTAAAGTCATCCCGGAAAGATTGAATGGGGATGTTGGGCTTGAAATAGCAAGCAGCAATGACGATATTAGGTTTTAGACAAGAGGTTTTGATAATGACTATGTCAGCAGTCGATTTAAATGGGATTTGTTTGAAGGATATGCCTTTTCTGGCAAGGATGGCAACACCTCCATAGCCGTCACTTCTACATTTATAAGCGGAGTTGTAATTTGAGATTTTGGGATCGGAAATTTTTTCATCGGACAGAAAGATTTCACTCAAGATGGCGAAATCAGTACGGTTGGAATTTATGAAAAAATCAAGAGAATGGCCATTACGCCTGAAGCTTTGTATGTTATACTGTAGGAAGGACGTCATGAGAAATGTTAGAACATGATAGGGCCGACCCAGATGTACCTTGTTTTAAAAGATCAAATTTTGATTTAAGGGAACTTATTTCTGTTTGGTTGGTTTTAAGCATGTCTTCTTGAGAAGAGATGGAGAGAATCCTGAAAATCTTTTCCAGAATTATCTCCATTTCAGTGGATTTTGATGAAAGTATGCTTTTCAGGGGGCGGGGTAGGTCTTTTTGGCTCCTGCGAGTTGTTACTGTAAGTCGAGGGCGTCTTGAGAGACATTCTGTGCAAGGACTTGGGAATACTTGTTTTATTTTTTAAAACTGCATTGAAGTTTTTGTTAATTAAAATATTATTTGTATCAATAGTAGGGTCTCTGATATTGTTAGGAGCATTGCTGTTCTTCATTGCTGGGAAGTTTACGTCATAGTTTTCAAGTAAATTGTATGGGTTGTTAGAGAATTTCTCTTTGTATTCTCTAAAAGATAAGTTCTGGATGGTTAAAATTTTTTTTAAATTTTTCTCTTTCTTTCTTTTTGGACACTCTCGAAATGTTACGATGTGGTCCAGTGACCCGCAACCTAGACATTTGATTGAGAGGCATGAGTCCGTAGGACAGGCCGGTGACTTGCCACAGTTCAGGCATCTGCTTTCCTTACTTTTGCAGAATTTGGCGATGTGACCAAATCGGCCGCAATTATAGCAGAGCCTGACGGAAGGGATGAAGTAGTCAACTGGAATATTGCAATAGTTGAATTTTATACTCTTGGGAATTAGTTTACCCTTGAAACCAATTTTTAGGCTGTTTGTTGGGATGAACATTTCTCTGTCTGCAGGGTCTCTTCTGAGGATTCTTGTAACAGAAATGATTTCAATATCAGAGGTAGCTGAGTTGAGAAAGTCCTCTTCCTTAGGTGAAGGTGGAATGTTTTTTACGATCCCAAATTTTTCTGTGAAAATTCTAGGGATGTAGGCCTTGCAAGACTTTGGACCAAAATCATTGTTTATTATAAAGTTGTTGGCATCAACCGCAGTGGCAAAACCAAGTTTGGCTTTGCCATTGCTGATGGTTTTGATATTAATCAAACCATCCAATTTGAGATCTTTGATGTGTTCGAAAAAAAATAAATCTGAGTTAAGGCGAAAAGGTTTCTCTAGGTTATTGTTGCATACTTCAATGAATACGTAGCACTCACCGGTCGTGTCGTCACTATAACGATTTGGACTAGTTGGGTCAGAGCTCTTTCCTTTTATGGGACTACTATTATTGTTACTGTTCATAGAGCTGTCCTTATTGGGAGTCTTATTCCTAGAGGGAGCGATCGGGGACTTTAAGGAGGTGATATTGACATCCTCAGTCAAGTCTTTTACAGATGAATTGTTCTTATCAGAGATGATCTTTTTGAGACCTTCGTTCTGGGCTGTGATTTTTCTTTGAAATGAACCCTTGCTATGCGTGATTCGAACAAAATTTTCGAAATCATCATCGTTTGATAACATGTTTGAGAGCCTCACCCCCTTGAGGGGCGGGCGACTTTTAGATTTCGTGCTAGATTAAAGGCAAGAGAAAAGGATCAACTGACTTACCGAGAAAAGAAGGGATATGGAAATCAGCCGTTTTTGGTGGAACCGACAGAGACAAAGAAGAACAAAGCCTTGTAAGTTAAAGCAGTTTTAAGAATTTGACAGGAATCGCCGCTACTTGATGTCCAATGTACAGGTGAGTTGACGAAGTGAGTCTTGTCAGGATGAGGTTGAAGGCAGCAGGTGGTGCTGCGCAATTTGCGGAGAAGCACAAGGACGTCGAAGCCTTTGTTGATTTTGTTTAAATGCCGCAACTTCACTATATATATTTTCACTACTTCAAGAGTTTTCAGAAACAAAAAAAAAAAGGAGAATTTTTTTCTTTTTTTTGTTGGAAAAAAAATTTATTTTTCAAGAAATTTCTGCAAGAAAGCGTCTTATTTCATGCAGAGTTGCCGAGCGAATGCGTTATGCAGGGGTAATATAATAGACTTTTCTTCGCATAGTTTCGTATAGACACTTAACAAACAACAACATAAAACATATGTAGAATGTCTTAGTTTGTTATCAAATGAATTGACATGTTGTGTTGATGATTTCCGCAAAGATAGCAAACAATCTATTTTTTACGTAAAGAAAATGAGATGGATTATTGCCTTTCCAAACATTAATATCATTTTTTTTAAAAGGTAATTAAAATGCTTCCTACCATGGGAACGTATTGAGCTTGGCAACTCTGATTTTATTATCATCGTTTTAAAAAATAATTTACAGCAAAACTGTTCTAGATAGGTTAATTTAATTGCATACTTACCACACTTGCCTATAAATATTTTTGCCTTGAACAAATAGGTGCTTTTTGCAATTTTGTGAAAAATATTAGATACTACTAAAACTGATAAAGGGTTAAGTGTTAAAAAGCAATACAAATTATTTAACCAGCATAAAAACATAAACACCGCTTCAAGAAGTGAATGAAGAAATGCCAACTGGAATTTTGTATGTGTGCGTGTATAGAAAGAAAAGAAATAAGTTTTCAAATCAAAATAAGTGGTAAAACAAAAAATACATTATTTTTACTAAATTTCCATTAACGGCTTCTTTAGGAATTAAATTTATTATTTTCATTCTTCAAGTAGTCGAAAAATCGGAAAAAAATTGTTAGTTGGAAGACTTTCTCGCTAACTAATTATTATTAATGTTGAAGACATCATTCTAAAATCTAGCAAAACTTGTTGCAACCATTTGACGCACAACGTGCAATTGAAAGCGAAACAGTGATTTCAGAGTTTCCTTTAATTGATGGATGAGCGAGATTCTCGTAATGATAAGCGCTGCTTTCTGAACTAAACAGGTATTTTTCAAAAGGTCGAAAATGCATACTCTTACAATAAGCTTTTTTTTTTTTATACTTTTATATTCGTTATTAGTCATTATTATTTTTCATAACTTCTGTCAAGCAGGGTGAGTTTCAAAATTCTAGGTTGCTTTAATTGTACATCTGTATTTCACATAGTAGTTAAAGAAATTTTTGAAACTAGGCCAACGTGGAGAGCAGTAGAAAGATCATCTTGAATGATTTCGATATCTCTAGTCGAAACTTTTTTCCAATTTTAATATCAAAAGGTCGCTATTATTTATGGAGCACACAGGAACAACAAATATCAAAAGCTGATCAATCAACTAGGCATATCTTATCGTCAACAGGTTTATTCCATTCCTTTAAACAAATAAAAAAGAATAGGAATAGGAAATAACAAAAATGGATAACATGTTTCAAAGTTTATTAAAATGGCTGCAAACTTTGAATCTCAGTGCTAGTTATGCAAATGCTGAAGACTTATCTAACGGAGTTGCTCTAGCTCAAGCGCTTAATTTATTTGCCCCTGACGTTTTTACAGGTACTATTTTTTTTAAACTTGTCTAAAGCCGCACATTTGACTTTTCATTCTGTTTTAGACTTATGGTTGTCCAAAATTAAAACTGATACAGGAACGAATTGGCGTTTAAAAATGAGCAACATTAAAAAAGTGATAGAAGGTTTATATGATTATTATGGTGACGTTCTGAATTATTCCCTAGCAGAATATCGGCGACCAGATGCAATGCGCATAGCTGAAATGTGCGATATTAAGGAATTAGAACGCTTACTCCAGCTAGTGTTGGGTTGTGCAGTAAACTGTTCATTGAAACAAGATTATATTCGGCAAATTATGTGTCTAGAAGAAGACTTACAAGCTAATATAATGCAAGCATTGCAAGAGTTGGAATCAACTTGGCAAGGGACATCAATGTGCCGTAATTCCATAAGCATAGCTAATTTTGACTACAAAATATTGCAGGAGGAACGCGATCAATTGGCGCAAAAATGCTTTGAAACTGAAAAGAAGGTATAGTAAACAATCTAATTTTTTCAATCTAATGCATGTTTAGTTTTCTTTTAGATTGTACTTTTAGAGGAAGAGAAAGGTAATTTGCGAGCAGAAGTTGCAAAACTACAAGATGATTTAAGGCGTCACGAAACCGTTTCAACGATTGGAGATGACGGCGTTTCCTTGGGGCCTGTACAAGTTGGAACTGTAAGATATAATGACATGCGCCGTCAACTAGGTATTATAAAAGAAGAATTGTTGCAATCCGAGACAAGCCGTGAAGATTTACGCTTAAAATGTCAGCAACAAGAAACTGAGTTACAGCTTTTACAGGCCCGTTTGGAAGAACTAAGTGTAAGTTGGTAAAATTTGTGTATAAAATCTTATTTCGCAACAATGCGAAGTCTGGAAAATATTGAATTTCGGGTTCATACTTCCTAATCTTGCTAATAGCTATTTCTTCGGTGTTTTTTAATATCAGAGAAACATCATATATATTGTAGGAGGAATTTTTTTTCTATACGCTCTTTCAAGTTTCTTCCAAAAAAGCCGTATGTGTAATTCGCATAAATGAAAGGCAGCGTTGAATAGAATAATCGTTATTATCCCTTTACCCGTCGATATGATTTTGAAAATATTACTCGTTATTGAATCAAATTTTCCTAGAAAACGACCGCCGAACTTGCACTATTGAAGGACGAAGTTGACTTTTTAAGAGAAGCGAATGAGAAGCTTAAAATGTGTGAGGCGCAAATAAATGGTTACAAAAAGAAATTGGAAGATTATAATGACTTGAAAAAACATTTGAAATTGTTGGAGGAACGCAGCGCTGATTATGTCCAACAAAATGTTCAATTTGAAGAAGACGTAAAAAAGTGTGCAGCTATTAAAGGGCAAGTTGAACTTTACAAGAAAGAGGTAGGTTTCGTTGGCTTTCATTAAATTTTATTTGTTTATTTATCCCTTTATTAACTTCTATCGGTAAGTTTAGATTCAGGAGTTGCACGTCAAATTAGACCAAGAAATGAGTAAAAATGTAAAAGTTGAATTTGAAAATAAAAATATGGAATGTACAATAACTGCGCTAGAACGTAGCAAGGATAATTTGTTAAAAGAACGCGATAATCTACGTGAAATAATAGATGAGCTTAAATGTGGTCAGTTGTCTACTAATATAGACAGTAATAAGCATATCATATTATTATTATTTGATTATTACACGAGATTTATTTTTGACAGGTGAAACACTCAAAACTATGTCGAAAGAACTGCAGCCTACTGATCTCTTACAAAAATTGCAAAGATTGGAAATAGACAATAAGATATTACGAGAAGGACAAGGTAGTCATGCAGCTTTGGTGGTAATTGTGAGATAAGGATATAAAAATTTTGACTTTTCCGACACATTTTTCTTTCCAGCAACTTTTGAATGATGCCAATAAAAGAAATGAAAACTTACGGGAACAGCTAAAATCGGCTAACGAGAGAAATCTGGCTATTACACATTCATCTTTTAGCGTTGATGCTAACAGCAAATGGTTTGTAATCTAATAAACTTTATGAAAACAAATATTTTATTATATATGGATTTACTTTAGTAATGAGTTAGCTAAGCAACTTAAACAGCTCATGGAACTCAATGAACAAAAAGGTAACTACACATTATAAAAACTCACGCCTTATAATAATAACTAAAAACAATTAATACTAAGCTTAAATTACAATAATTGAGTATTCGTTTGTGTTATAATTTATTTAGTGTAATGAGTTAAATTCTTTGATTGGTAGGGAAAACAAAAATTAAAATACCAAGCATGTCTTGCTTTTGAAAGGAGAAATTAACTGATTAATCCTTTCTTTGTTAATAAAGTACAAGAAAAAAATATTGAAATAAAATTTCGCAAGAGTACTTTCTAAAGCAATATCATAATATCGGGAATTTGCCTCATAACTCGTCAGCTCATTCTGTTTGCTTCTTAATAGCTTTAATTTCTTTCGTTTTATTGTACCTAATAATTTGCAGCCATTCATCTCGACGAAGCTTTAAATCAAAATGCCGTTCTTCAAACTAAGATTTCTCAGTTAGAAAATAGTCTTTCTGGTCGTGAACAAGAACTTGTAATATGTGATACAAAATTTAGAAAGTGCCTTGAAAAAGCAAAGGAAATAATAAAAAATATGGATCCGCGCAGCGGTATATATGTGATATACTAAAACAAAGCATATTGAAAACAGTTGTACAATTAGTTGCAGATATGAACATTTTAGAACAGACGCAAAATCTTGACGACTTCCAAAAAGCGAAACCTAGTATGTTGGAGGAGAATCTGATGACAACGGCATTTTATAGGTATTTAATTACTTTTTAACGAGGAGTAAATGTCAATTTTATTCCAAGTGTCTTTAGGATTTGTGTCAACGCTCAGAAAGATGCTATCGATTCTAAACTAGCCCTTCTAATGGGACAGCGACATACGTTTTTATCGCGGCAAAGGCAGTCGGCACCAAGAAGTGTAAGAGGAAAGTGAAATTAATATACATACATAAATATTTATCAAAGTATTACTTAAAAAAGTAGCAATTTACTATTGAAAATGGCCCCTGTACGGTAGTAAATATACACCAAAAATATTCGTATTTCGTTAAAACATATTTTTCAGTTGTTAGTAAATTAGTAATTTCAATCATTAAATATATCCAAGTATTTAAATTTCTTTAATAAATAATTTTTTTGCTATGCTGTATCTCCCAAGCGTACTTATTCAAAAGCGAGAAAACGGCATTGTTATAGAAAAAATAGGAGTGGGATGGGCTCGCGAGACGAAGTGGCTAAAAATCATGGCAAAGGCAGTTTTCCGAGTTTCATCTGCTTTCAATGCGAGAGGGAATGCCAAAGTATTACGATCATATAATAATTTTTAAAACAACAATGAAAACAACGATGAAAGTATTGTCGACTATGCGATTTTGAAATTCGTAGTAAATAATGGTTCAGAAGGTGGTTCCAACGAACTAGTGACAGATATCAAAAAATTATAAAGAAAAATTAGCAAACAAAAACGCTCTCCACTTTTAAATTTTTAAGTATATGCTACAAAGCAACCACTAACTCCTTAAATGTTGATACGAACGTCGCGCATTTTATGAAAGATGAGAAATATGCGAATTTGTTTTGGAAGGGAACCTTTTAAAATGAAAAGAAATGCAAATGTTTTATCTTGAAATAAAGCGGTTTATGCATGCGAACGTCGCTAAAGGGATTAATAATAATTCACGAAAAAGAGTTTAACAAGAAAACGTCAACGAAATGTGGTATTGGTAACCTGTTTGTGAAAGAAGTATTTGCGAAAGGTAAAGTCACACAGAAACAAGTAAGAAAATTATATCCGGCGGGAACGCGTCTCGTTTAACCACCTTTATGTTTTTCGCATTCTACTCCAAGTTCTTTATTTGATACCCATATAGCTAGTATTATTAAGAAGTAAAAAGTAATCGTGGTGTCTACCATATTTATTTCAAAATTAACCCATTTTTAGGCAACAATTATAGTGTGGTCGCATATCGTGGTTAATATGCATCCACTTCGAAGTGTGACAGATTTATGCAAAATCAGCATAATGCATTTGCAAAAAGAAAAAAATGAATTATGTCACACTTCAACTAGCTGAAAATTGCATTTCGTAATGCAATACGACGCTAGGCGCGGTAATTAAATTAATCGAGCAAAATTTTATGCTTACGCTAACACTAAGGTATTTTTGTAAAATTTAAAATAAATGGTAAAATGAAATGAATGAAGATAATTGTTGTGAATTAACAATTTAATGAAGCGCTACACGAAAAAAGGCGTTCCATCCGCTTAAATTATCTAGCTAGGGACAACTTTAGACCGACCTCGCATTGGCATTAAAAAAAGTTAACAGTTTTGGCGGTATAAGCCGAACAGCATAGATCGCATACAATAAATATATGCAACCTACACCTATTAACACATATATCTTCATTTAAAAGGTATACAAAGTAATTTTAAACAATCGGTCTTGTTTGCCCAATAAATAAGTATAATATTGTTACGGAAACCCCAAATCTAGGCATTTTCTACAACCAAATGTACATTCGCGAGGCGTCATGCGATTAGCGGAAAAGCAGACAAGTAAAAACAAAGTGCATATTCGCAGGCGAGTCATGCAGCTGCAGACCGATGAATGGTTACCAACAAAAGCAGGTTAACGAGTTAAAAATCAAGTCATAAAATTAGATAGTAGTAATATGATGGCAAAAATGTATATAAATAGAATATTTGTGAAAGACAGGAGAGTAGAAAAAGAATATTTGAGTTAAGCAGTCGAAAGTATTGCCAAAAATAATTTGTAAATAATCCTACATTAAAAGAAATATAATTGTAAATAAAAGAAGTTTGAAGTGTATTTCTCTTGATCAAAATATCTGCGATCTAGTGATATGGACTGTATCTTACAAAAGCGAATTACATAACAATGTCTTAAAAAAGTGAAAAATAATTTAGTCACTTCAACTTTGTGTGGGCATTGCGGATGTTTCCCATTTTTGCACTTTGGAATAGAGTGCTTCGTAAAGTCAATGTTGAAAATTTCAGCCTTCTAATTTTTATAATTTCCGAGTAACAATCGAAAAATTTTTGCTAAAAAAATTGGAGTGGCGTTCAATTTACGCTCCGCTGCGCGCTTTGGTTCCGGCCGATTTGGCTTGTTTTCAACAACAACCTGCGTGTAGAAATTGCATAAATGTGAAGTCCATATCTGCCTTTTTGCGGCCATGAGAGTGTCAATAACACACCCTATACAGAGACGGGCCGACATGGTTACATCGACCCAGAATTTCACGCTGATCAAGAATGTCTATGCCTTATAGAGTCTTTGAAGCTTCCTTTTGCGACTTATATACATTATGGAAGAAAGTTTATATCCCCATCATACAGTGGTGGTTATAAAGAGCTTATGAATGTAATTTCCTGTAAATAAACGTGTTTTCTAAGAATTGTAAATAATAGTCCTCTTCCGAGCACTGTTACTCATGTGAATCATTAGTTGTCTTTGCTTCCGTAAGTATAATGTTAGGTTTTTCACATAAGTTTAAGTTGCAAGGAACTAGTAAGTTGTGTCTTTTTCATTTATACGCGTACATATGCACACTGTAGGAGTTTCTTTTAGCATGCGTGCGCATATATTATTTGTTCCTCAACCACCGTAACTTTTGGTCGTTTGAGCTAACAAAATATGATCGTCCGCTTCGCAAGTAAACTAAATTTCCGCAGTTGCTTTTCATTTCCGTCTTCGCTTCTTTTAAGCAAATATATAAGTGCAAAAAAGCTTCCACTAATCAAAACATTTTTTGACGAGCAGGATGACGTGGGTTTTATCAAACACACAAATTTTAGTGATTAATGAAAAGTGCTTAACAAATCAATAGTTCACATGGACAAATTGGTTCCCAATGTCGTGATTAATCAAAGTGCGTAAAAATTGTACAATCGGTGTAATATTTGTCAAGAGCAATTACGATGTCACATACGAACGAATGTGTTTGTTAGAACTCGTGATTATTTTGTATATTTTTACTACATAATAAAAAAATAAATTCGGTTCTTGTGTCTTGGAGCTTTGATCTTGGTCTGTCTTCTTGATCATTTTATTTGATTTCATTGGTACGCATTTGTTTCGTTGTCGAGTGTCATAACTGAAGTTATGAGGGTTGCGCGTTAGTGTCGATGTGCACGCCAGCTGGTAGGGTTATGGTTGAGTTATGCGGATATTGGAAGATTGCAATCAGGGAGGAAAGCAGAGTGCGACGTCAAGGCATTTACCATCTGTATTGCGAATATAGCTAGCTCGATAAGTATTCCTCGAACGTGATGGGAGATTGTGCTTATATTCAAAGTGTAGATTTGGTCCTTAAGGAAATCTGTACCAATATTGACAAGAACAAAGAGGAATTGGTAGAATATAAAGTGGGCAGCTGGCCTGAAGATTGGATTAAAGAAGAATGAAAACAAAGTTACCAAGCTGATAGAAAATTGCGAACTCCATATTGATGAAAAGTTGAAGGTCACATTGAACCCGTGCATAGCTCAAATGATCAGCTTAATTTACATACCGATATTAATTACCTACGTAAGGTATATAAGTATGTCCAGCATATCGTAACAAATTAAAGATGGTTAAACGGAAGCTTAGATACGATCAAAACTTATATAAATGTAGTGTTAACATGGGGATGAAAATGTCAGTTTTTTTATCATTGAACTTATAAGAAATTTCATATTTTCTTTGAAAATTGCATTTTTCTCCTCAAACGTTTTCTTTGGCTCATAATATTTTAAACTATGAAATGCTTCAATTGATGACAAATACGCACTTATATCAATCGCTAGGAACTAAAGGGACACTGAAGATACGAAACATATATCCTATTCAATACACGAATTAAATGTGGGCCCTTTTAATTTATTCACTTTCTTTAATTTTTTGAATCTCTATTTCTTCCTTTTTTACCCCTGTGGTGGTTGTGTAGATTACGGGTGTCATTTGTACCGCCTGTCTAACCCTCACAAAAAAATATTATATATAAAATTATAAATAACTAACGGCTTGTCTTACCTAACAGCCTCGCAGTACTTTAGTATTGTTCTTTTGTCCGTTTGTCTGCACCTATGTATACGTTGGTTCGTTACGTCATCATGATGTTTGTCATCAAATGTGATTTATTTCTTACTTGCTTTGGTCTTCTATCTCATTCTTTTCCCTTCATAATGCCGTCTCGTATTGCTTTCCGTCGACGATTGACGCAATCTTGTGGTTCCTTACATTTTATAAACCTTTTCATGTGTTATAATGTACTTTTATTATGTTTAGGTTTCAACATAACAAATTTTTAATATTACATTATCAGTAAAACTAAGTTTTAGTTACTATTTTTGGTAAGCCGTTGGTTTAGTTGAATTTGAGTGGTAATTTCAAGTTATAATGATTCGTTTTTACTTAGGCTTAAGGTTTAATTTCCAGTAATGTGTTTTCGTTTGGGATTGAGTTTTTTCGCAAACTTTTCTTTCATTCTTTCTGATGTTTAAAATTTGAAAGAAAATATAATTAAAATCATTTTATTCGCAGCACAATCATGCAACTAACTTATACAACTTTATTCACAAGTTAAGTTAATATAATAAAATTTACCTTAATTGTTCAGACGAAATCGTGAATGGCAATATCATTTTGGTTTTTATTACACATATGCCATTTTCAATAAAATATATTACTATTATTGTCTTTTGCTTTGTCATGTAAAGAAGTCGTTTCTGGTGTTCCTGCTTTATCATTTTAAACGGAAAAGGTTTGGGTTAAGATATCATTATTTAAAATACTATACTCGCTTTCTCATAAGCAAGCAACTTGCAACATCTACATTTTGGAGGGCCCGGCGAGATAAGTATCTTAAACAAATTGCAAATAATTACGTCAGTTAACCACGTGCCTTTTCATGGATGATCAAACGAAATTAAAAACTGATGCCGTGCAATGCTCCAGCAACAAACTTGATAAAGCGCTATTAGCTTTAAAGGTCCGTCGTACGGTGACCGAACAGCAAATTGACCGCGTTTCTTTAGATGAGTTAAATATAAAGCTCAAAGCTTTAGACAGTGCTTTTGATGCTTTCAACAAAGTACAAACAAAAATTGAAGAAAAGATTTTGATGAAATCTCTCAACCAAATTGATCGAAATGTGAAGAATTATATTACTGTATAACAACAACATTAAAAGTGTGCATATCAAGACTCAACAATTCAGAACCAAACAATTCATGTTTCCCATGCGATATTATCTGATGAAAAATACGACACTGTAAAAATACCAAAAATCGAATTACGCGAATTTTCTGGTGATGTTACTGCATGGACAGCTTAGTTCGATGAATTTACATCATTGGTGCACAACAATGAAAGGCTTAAAGGCCGCAAAGGC